GTAACATTTGCCAATTATATATTAGTAGTATATCTACTTTTAGTCCAACAGAAACTTAAACAGTATATATTTTAAGCTGTTTTATATAATGGAAGAGAAATGCTCAATCTTTTAGAGATTAAGGAAGTAGGTGCATTGGGATTTTATACTTGGACACTAATGTAGAGCTTTCAACTCCTGTGAGATTTTTGGGCAGTAGAAATGTTTAAACGTAGTTACACTGTAAATTTGTGGGAAGTTCAGCACCGCAGATACGCGAACATAATATCTATGTACAGGGCTTGTTAGCTCCGTGAGTTTGACGCGTCCAGTAGGTGAGTCCGTCCGATCGGTTTCGTCTGACATATCCCGGACGGACGCAGCCATTTCGCTGACGAAAGATGTCGGCTGCTATTTACACGACCCCTTCTTAATACGATAGAAGTCGTGGAACCCAAAGTGATTTCTAAAGTAAGGGAACTACTTTGAAACTGCATGTGTCACAACTGACGAGGCGTCATACAACTAACATATATATTAACAATTTGTGTCCACTTTTCCTTTTGGCTAAATACAAGTACCATATGAAGAGTTTTCTTTCATGCAAGTAGTGGTTTTTTTATTCGTAAAATATCTTCTCAGTACTAGTTCGGGCTCAAACAAGCTCAACTGCAACAGATAGCCACAAAAATAGCCTCTGAGACGAGTAAGCTGTCAGCGTTCATATGGTTAAACTTTGTTTTGTACATTTCATACAGAATTGTGTTTTCGCAAAAAGCCGATAAAGCGATCTTCGATTATTGATGCGAAAACATTTGATGCCGTTAAATTATTAGACTAAGTTATCCCATGGTATTCTGATGAGTTAGGCATTACTCCGGTTTTTCCAAGCCTCGCGAGCAATTGTCTATCGTATACTATATGATGCAATTTGGGTTTTCCTTAAAACAAGTAATTATGCACCTTAATAATTCTACTTGTTCTCATCATAAGCGTTCTCGAAAGGCTAATTTTTCAGTGACGACCTGTTCTAACGCAAAGCGTATGAGATAAGACTGACAGAAAAGTCAGTGATATCTATGACCGATTTGCTGAAAGATGGTGAGCTATTTCAAAAATCAGGCGAACTGTGTAGTAGGTCAATCCTCAATTATGAATCAACTGACTGATCTCAGTTTTGTTATTGGTGGTCAAAAAAACCGTGTATGCCTAGGTTGGATCTTTAATTAATTGAGAATTAACGGTTATTAGTTTATTATATAGGATCTATTATTTTTTGTTGAATGTACGCGATAAGTAGGAAGACATTTGGTTTGCTGATATTCGAACGTCCGTTGTAGCTTACGTTTAAGTTATTTACGAACAAGTAATTTTTTTTAGACTATTTCCACCACGAGTCTTATCGTCATACTGGTGGAGTGTCCGCTAACATAGGACCCGGTTCTTTCTCGTCGCTGAAACGAGAATTCGCTTGTCTGCGCTGGCATTTGCCCGTTTTATAACATCTTGACCCTGCGCTTCGATCGAATGAAACATCGATGCTTGACGTTCCATTCGATCATTGATCGTCACTTTTCTGTTCTTAATGGTGTTTGAGCACAGAGAAACTGATCTAGGTTCCACTTCCCGAACGGCGATCCTATCATAATTATGCAACGATATCCTTCCCAGGGAAATGCATATGCGTCATGCTATTTTATCGCGGCGTTTAGGCGTCGAACAGCATCGACAGGAATATCACAGGCTGTCGAAGCGTGAACTTAACATTTAATACCTTATCTGATAATGAAACTTTGCTATCTCGTTTGGTATTACCTAAAAGCCAATTGAGCTAGCAAGCTATTGGGACGAGCTTCAGCTGGCGGAAGCAATCAAATAGTTTGGCAAGATTCTTTGTTTAGCTATCTACATAACAAGAACTTAAAATAGTGACAGTCAACATGCGCTTGGTAATGACTAAAGATAAGTGTTATCGGGTAGTCTCATTTTGATCGGTCCGCGAACCTACAGTATCACTTTCAAACCTCTAAGTCAGCACATTCTAAAAATGACGACTTGTATGCGAAATTTAAAGATGATTAGTTTAGGAGGAAAATGGGGGGAAGGATGTTGATCGTAACATAGTAGGTTTTGCTTTCTTTTTATAAGAACAAAAATAAATAATTTTGTCATTGAAATGCTAGCCGACCAACGTGAGTTACTGTGATCGTAGTTGGTTCTGTTACAGTGGTCTTCATCGATAAGAAAAGTCCAAAATCTTTAAAAGCATATGACGGCCTTTTTTCATGCGCAGTTAGCTAACGTCGCTACGTCAATGTAATTAAAAATATAGCCTACCCAACACAAAAATGACCTGTGAAATTCTACGAAAGCTGTAAACTATTGTGCTGAAAAGATGGCTCCGATAGCGCTCTACAATGGTAGCTTGTTTCGACCTTTTATCTATCGAATTTGTATTAAATAGTTCATCACATCGAATCTGAATAACTGTTCACATGGATATTTGTAGGTGTTCGACTTTAATACGAAGCTTTTTCGCTAGCATCTTCTGAAGACTTAGGGAAGTAGGAGAGTAATTCCAAACGTAGTAGTTTACTTACTACTACCATCCTTTCTTAACTGACTTGAAGTAAGCATTAGAGATGTGTTTTTTTTTCTGGAAGTGTTTATTATTTGCATTTTGAAACACGCTCGACATTGTCTATAGCATATTATATGGTGCCATTTATTTCTTGTGAAGCTGTAATGTTTTCTGATGTACCTATTCGAATGAACGTTGGTTCCGTTACGACGCGAGATGCTCTATAGTCCTAATTTTTATGCCTGTTATTGGAATTGGAAACCCATATAGGTATAATAAGCAAATAGCACGAAGCTAAGATTGGAATGAATATACTTATCTTGAATGAAGCTACCAAAAAAAGACACAAAACCTTTGTTCATTTTGTTAAACTATGCGCCATTCAGCCTAACTCAAATATGATAAACAACTATATTGATAATATCTGCTACGAAAGGCGTCTAAATATTGCTTTAGGAAATTAGAGCCAAATCGAAAATAGGTTCCGGATCACTTTTAGCCGACATGAGCTTGATCTAATGCAGTCGACCAAATTTTGGTGAAATTCTAGGTATTCCAACATTGTCTCTGGAATAAAATGGCAGATGATCACTTGGGTTCCTGAATTTCAGATGCGAAGCTTGATTAACATCATAATAATAGAAAAATGTCTGTGCTTTCGGCAGAAGTTGAAAGAATCTCCCTTTTATAGTCTGCTGCAACTTTCTCTAGTTGAACCAACGACTCGGCGTAAGCTGTCAGGAACATCCAAAAACAAACTATGTGTCATTATTATAATTACTGTGATAAGTAGTGGATTTTTGACACCTTTAGCATATACTGAGAAAAGTTACATGTAGCAACGAAATGAAAAGAATTTGAATAAGTTAACATATTGTCTTTTAGTCGGTCAAGTTCTAACTTCCGCATTTACCTTCCCAACAGCCACGCATATGGTAGCTGTAATTATTTCTACCAATTTATGTACTGCACCGGTTAATCTACAGTTTATTTTCCTATTGGCAGAGAAAGAACTACTCCGCGGTCCAGCTAGCTCTCTTTGCGTTTAGTTTACACTGCGTACGCTTATTACGAGCAGGCCAACTGCGTGCATCAACCATGACGTTTAAGATATAGGATGCTTATGGCAGTTTGATGAGGCGACAGTACGACGTCGAAAAAAGCAAAGAAAGCGCGACTATATTTTTCATTCGTAGAAAATCGCGTTTTCCCTCTAAAACATTTCAAAGTGCGATTCTAAGATATTCAGTAATTTCGAAAGAGCTGTTTAGCAGACAGCTGACAGTTGATATTCTCTTTTCATTTGACGTATTTTTTTATGCCAGGGCTAATTTTGGTAACGAAAAGTTTAACTGAACTTCAGAGTCATTGCGCTACCGAAACCGTTAGAGTCGTTGTAACGTAATACGTCTAATATATTCGAAACTTACATGTTCGAAAAATAAGGCAGTTCCTTTGAAATGTAACTATGAAATTCTATGCTGAATTTTTGAAGAAACAATGATTTGTTCATTTTTGAAAGCCAGCCTATCACGGAAAATACTAAATTTTAGTGATATACAATAAAACAAAGCCCACAAAAGCTAGGAAGAATGTTACGATCTCATGTACGCTTTGTAAAAAGCAATTTCTTCAATTCTTCTCAAGACGTTTTCATCTTCCTTGAGCTAGTTTTATTATTAATGCTTTAATGTACTAAAAAACTTTAAGCTGGATGACTGCTTGTCGAAATCCATTCGTATCTAAACACTTCCAAAGCTTTCCATGCTTTCGCTAAGCGTCACATCCGTTGCGATCTGCGGTTTTGACAAACACACGTTGGGCAAGTCCAAAGTAAGATCCATCATCTTTTTTCTACATTTTTAGGTCCTCGATCAGCTCCACAGCTAACGGTAATTTACTTTTACTTAATGTATCTATTTGCCCTTTTACGACACATTGGTTACCTTACAATAAGAAGAATTAGCTCTTTTTGCTGCATTGACGTTTATGTTAAGCTACGTAATAATCCCTGTCGAGATTCGTTGTTGGGTGTTCTTTTGCTCGTTATTCCACAGTTTTAAGTTTTTCTGATCGAGAGAATAAATCATCATAAGCTTACGGATATGCTTATCCATATGAAAGAGTATTTCCGTTCAACAGGAAAACGAGACAGCGCCGACATTGCTATTCACCAACACCACGACCGCCATCCTCGTTGGCGGCCGCAGGAACAATAACAGCGCTACCATTACCAAATAACACATCCAGTCATAGCCATGACGGCAACAAGTCTTCATCTACATTATGTAGACGCGGCACCGGTGTCGCAGGCTGTATCCTGCTATTTTGCCGGTTTTTTTACTCACTCTTTCCACATCTTTATCTCGGCGCCGTCGTCGCCTCCGCGACTGGCAGTAGTAATAGTTGTAGCAGCGGCTGGATAGACAACGGCCTCGCGTAGAAGTCGCATGTGCCTGTCTGTCAGACAGTCGGTCCTTCTCTCTCCGTCTCAATTGTGTGCGTCTATCTGTGCTCTATTTGGTGTATGTTCGTGGATCAGTTAGTCCGTCTGTTCCTTTGGCGGTCTGGTGCTCTAACTTCGTATTACACAGCATGCGGAACTTCTTGTTTATCTAATCATTTACTGAAGTTAGTGGTGCTACCAGGCTACTTTAAGGACCATTGTGGGTCTTGCTATTGTTGTCATCAGCAACTTTGTATTGCGGTGACCACTACCTTCTTTGCCTGCCCCGCTCGTCATTCATAGGATCGACATAAACATGAGCTGACAGAGAGTCACACAGAAAATCTTGATACTATGGAAAGTGGGAATTGCGCGGGGTTTTCCATTCGATCTTCTCGGATAACTATCTGTCTGGGGCTAGTAGAATGCCAATTAGAAAAGTGCCTTTGATAAGCCAAGTAAGCTTTTTTTCTCTTTCTTGTGCTAAAGGAAAGTTTCATTGAAGACCGGCTGTCGGCAGTCCCACTGTTGACCAGCACAGGGTGTCACACAGTGCGTACGAAACCCCGAATTCACAGTCGTCATTGGTTATAGCTGTTGGCTTACAAAATCACCCACGTTGGGATCCGGCAATTTAGATCTTATTTCAGGACCAGTGAGATCACCTTCAATTCGCTTGCTAAACAACTAACATCTGAATTCGCGAGATATTATTGTTTGTTGAGATTTTGTTGGTGAGAACGGTCCAGTGTCCTATGGAATCGTTTTTGTTCGGACACGTTGATTGTGTTGCGGCGCTTCCTGCTATAGACTGATGCGCCAAGTCGGTAAACGCCGATTGTACATGGGGGCTCCCAAATCACGTGTTTCGCAAAACTCGTACGACTTCGAACGAACTTAGTTAACAAATACACTGATACCCAAAGCGGTTTTTGCTGTACCACCGCAAGAGAGCCCAAACGGACAACAGTGACAAAAGTTCTGAGCCTGTTATATTGTGTCGGTCGGTGAAGTACTATAAAAAAAAAAACGAAGAAGATTCATTAGTCATCAGTGCTTAAACTACACTGGACACGCGACCCCATTTACCTTTAAAGTTCTACAGAATCTTCTGTACGGGGTACAACGACTGTTATGTATTCATCGGCTTTCGCCGTAGCCCTACTGGGCACAACCTATTTAGTCGGAGCGGCATTCGAAAACAGCGGTAAAGATACCCTTATGTTTGACCCATATGAGAGGTATTCATGCCTGTACTTATGACTATATGGTAACGAATGTAATAGGTTAAAAAAAAATTATATATACACATACAATGAGCTTCAACCAGTAATCAGCTGTATACGAGAAAATCTAGTAAAATAGTATTCCTCCATGTATGGAAAGTGCCAGTTAAACGGTGGCAAGAAGCAACTTAATATGTCAACCAATACAGAACTATTTTTGAATTCCGTTCGTTGCAATTGAGCTCTTAAGTGGTAATAACTGCTCTAGTTTTACTTTTAAAGATTTACTGATAGCGACTAAATTCACCGAGTATCATCAATTGGTCCGTCATAAAGTTATCGTGGTCTGAACGTGCTATGCCATATTGATCAGCTTTTAATAACAAAAATATTAGAATTCTAAATTGTCTCTGTTACGTAGCTCAAAAATATTATTCTGTCTTCGCTGTACAGACTTAACGCCACTGTCTGTTTGATTAAATGTATCTGTACATGATGTGCCTACTAAATAAAATCGCAGCTTTTTTGAATGCCCGGTGTATCGCAACTGACGGAATGCCCTGTTATTCATTGTCACTCACTTATTCGCTTATATGTTCTTCTCAAAACGT